CACACACACACGCATCATATTTGTATCAAGCTGTGCCTGAGTCATAACAAATGTCAGGTTTACGTATTACAGCGATGTGACACATGGCCAGCTCCAAATGGAAACTCCTGCAATGTACCTTATGTGTTTGAAGCCCCGCTGTGTATTCAGGTTGCAAGGTTTATTGTTGTTTTTGCAGTTTCGCATTTTGTCGGAGGGCTATAATGATCATAAATGTGCAATCAGTCCTAATCATTTAAGTATTAACGGCCCTGTTAACAGTGTAACTCACCCAGTGTCTAATATAATTGTGGTCATAAAGCAAGACTCAAATCATAGATCAAAGACGTTCATTTATTATTATACAACACAAGATAGTACAAAATGAAAGTCTGCAGTCCCTTAATGCCACATATCGAACGAGATAATTCATATTATAGTAGAATAACATGAAAGACTATAAAATAAAATAACACAACATGCAGTTATATACAGAGATGAATACAAACAGGAAATAGTTCAATTTGCATTTGGGAAAATAAACAACAGCAACAAGATAGTGAATTTAATATTGTTTAATTTTCACAGAAAAAGTTTGACATTTAAGAAACAGCTAATACCAAACTAACCAAACGACTTTAAGAATGTATCTTAACATCCACATGCAGAGAACTGCTCATAGAGAGAAAGATATTTGTGTTATCTGCTCTTCGATCGAGCACACTCAAACTAGAAGATTAGAAAGTTGACAGATTATGGTTCCTGCAGCGACACGTAACTCTAGCTTTCACTCTACACACACAGAGTGAAAGCCCTCGCATATTCTAGTCTCTCTGTAACAAGCAAGTCCTCTTGTTTTTATCGGTATGTTGAACCGAAACACCTCGAAGCTTCAGCAGGTCTGGCAACATTTTCCACTCTCCTTTCCCCTCCAGCTGTCCTTCAACCTTAGACTACAGCCTCCTGAAAATCACCTGTAAACTGCTCACATCACCAGCTGTTCTGTGCCAAACATTGCTATTGATTTATGTTTGCGGCCAGAACTCTTGGCCTGAGTCATAAATTAGCCCTAATTACACGTCATCGGGCTGCTTTGATTGCTTTTTGTTTTTTTACTCCGTCATCTGAGATGATTAGTTGGAAAAACTGACATTCGTTATGTGCATAGTTTCTGTGCAGCAAGGTGGTTTAGTGGTAAACACAACTGTTTCACCCGGTTACCAACACCACAACCAAATACACGTGTGTACATGCTGCATGCTCGTTCTGGTGCACTGAGTGTGTTTTCAAATGCAGTGTGCAGTCATGTGACAGCACATAGTAACATGTTATAATAAATATGTAAAGAAAACAGTGATGGTTGCGACACTCATTTCCCCCCTCAGTATTTCAAGTCTTTTAGACTCTACTGTCTTTTCTACTGTGACATGTGATTGCATTGACTTGTATGTGTTCCCAGATACATCACTGATCTTCCTTTCTTTCCTTGTTTTTTATTCCTGCCCAGATAAACGAGTTAAGCCATGTTCAGATTCCCATCATGCTCATGCCAGACGACTTCAAGGCCTATTCTAAGATCAAAGTGGACAACCACCTCTTCAACAAGTATGGTCTTTTGTGTCTTTTTTTTCTTTTAACACAATTGTAATACTGTAAAATATGTTGTTTTTTTGTTTTTTTTCTCATCATCTCATGAACTATGTCACTTGTGTTTTCTGATTTTATTTTATTTGTATTTATTTATTTTCTCGTACACACACAGGGAGAACATGCCCAGCCATTTCAAGTTCAAGGAGTACTGCCCTCTGGTGTTTCGAAACCTCAGAGAGAGGTTTGGCATTGATGATCAGGATTTCTTGGTATGGAAAGCCTAGAAACATTACTACCACTTCTGATTCAAATATCTAGTTTCTTTTGTCATCTTTGTATTACTAGATTAGTGTCAGTTGCCACGTAAGAGTGCCGGTTCCCATAGATAGTCGCACTTCTGGACAAGATTTTGAACTTAACTAGTAAAGTCGCTCTATTGCGCTTTTTCCTTTCCCTCTTTTGTTTCAGCCAACTCCTTGTCTTCCTTTACTTTCCACTGTCCCATAGTAAATCCCCATTCCCAGTCCAGGCAATGAGTTGGCAGTATTTGGAGGTCGATGTGTCCCAGCTCAGTGCAGCTGTCCTTCTCACATGTTTACATTACGGTTCGGCTGGCTGCAGTGAGTGGGCAGTTGGGGGTGTTAAGACACCGGCCAGTGCGAAAGAATGTCAATATTAAACTACTTTCCTACACGAGGCTCGAGTGACTTGGTCAAAAAGGTTTATTGGTTTGTATTTTTTTTTAATTTTGGCCCTAAAACCAGCCTGTTGGCATTATATCTAATTATATTGGTAATATTCCTCATTACAGCCAATGGGTACCAGCAGCTGCAGGCCTTCTCTTTTGATGGCACGCAGCAGTATTAGTTTTAATGAGCAATGCTAGCAGGATTAAATTAAGTTTTGGGAGGGTAACTGAAGTGCAAACAGATTAACCTCTTTCCCCACATTATGATAAATGCATGGTGGAGAAACTGACTAACTAAAACAAAAACATTAGGATATTACTTTGAAAGCTTTTCATCTATGCCAGCCTGAGGCCAAGGGCCTCTTAAACATTTTCAGGCTGTGACACAAACCACTTCAATGTTACACCAGGACCTCGATTGTAAGTAGGCCTTTAAGTGTCCATGCTTTTTAGGACCCTCTAGAAACAAGACTGCAACCAATTTTAGGTCTAAACACAAAAAAGAAATGCTGCTTAACAGTTGTTTCAGGTTGCACCTTAAAGCTTAGTCCTCACTTTGCAATACAAGCAATAGATGATGTGACTGTGAAGAGGAGAGGGGGAACTGAGGGCAGAGGACATGAGGAATTCTTAGGGAATGAGGCATTGAGCCAGGGGTGTTGGATCATGTTACTTTTGAGCTCCAAAGTCTGGGCAGCAGCTGTTTGTGTCTGTGTGTAGGTTTGGACAGGCAGCGAGCGTAAGGGTCAGAACCCCACATGTTTAGACTGGAGAGTGGGAGGTGGTCAGACAACAAGGAGGTAGATGCAGGACATGCTGTAATGTGGGATCTGTTCAAATACCATAGAAGAGTAGCTATTTCAGCTGTTGCAACCAACAGAAAATATTTAGTTTGACCACCGGCTATGTAAATGTCAACCTGGATTCTGACTGATAAATAAAACATTTCAAACACTTAAAAAAAGTGTAGTTAGACCATTCAACAAAGTAAAATACAAGTAATAACTGCATTATATTGGTTCTCTGAAGGAAGTAAAAGTAATGCACATGCAAGGGGTGTCAAAACACGCTGATCATATCTGTAGTGTGTATATCCTGATAGCCATGATAATTGCGTGTCCTTTCTGTCTTTGCTCTGTTTGTTTGCAGAACTCACTGACACGCAGTGCTCCCTTGAACAGTGAGGCCCAGGGACGGAGCGGGGCCCGCTTCCATACCTCTTACGACAAACGCTACGTCATCAAGACCATCAGCAGCGAGGATGTGGCTGAGATGCATAACATTCTAAAGAAATATCATCAGGTGACAAAAGGCTATCTTACATTAGTATATATAAATGCAAGCCTTGAGTCTTCCATTAGATAGGCTTATTGCATCTTTAGTAGACCTCAGAAACTGAATTTTGACTACTAAAACCCTTTACTGAAACAAACACCACTCCTGGGGGCCATAGGACTTAAGAGACACAGTATTTCTATCTCATTCTCTAAAAGAGACAAAATGAGAGTACATTATAAACACACATGCAATTTTGATATTCATCTGTACCCTTTTGTCTGCCTGCATTACAAACTGACACACAACACAAGTCAAGCGCTTTTCCACCGATGCCATAGTGACGACATTAATGATCATTTTACAACTTTTGCTCTACCCATTTATTGGTTAATAAATGTCCAAAAGTGTCAGCACTCATACTCCTTTTCCCAGGACAGCTGTTGCAGTAGGTTAGAGCCCATTGAACCCTCTTTGTCTATTTATCACCTTGGAGTTGAACACAAAGTGGCACTTAATCATAAAGGGATCATTCTGCGTTTTATACACTTCCCTTTCTCCATTTCTCATTCTCTCTCTTCTAACGGAGACAGTAAGCATACATTGTGCCTATGAAAGGGCCATAAATTGATATTCCTCGCTCTCTTTTGGTAGTTCATCGTGGAGTGCCATGGCAACACGCTGCTACCTCAGTTTCTGGGGATGTACCGGCTCACCGTGGATGGAGATGAGACCTACATGATTGTTACACGCAATGTCTTCTCTCACCGCCTTTCTGTCTACAAAAAATATGATCTCAAGGTAAGGGGGGAGAACAGATCAAGAAAAAAAAAAAGCAAAGAAAGGAAAATGGAGCAGATAGGGCATGAATATTAGAAGAAATAACGTCAATATAACCTGTAGTTGCACCACACCGATTACTTGTTGCCACTCATTCAAGGACTCAAAATACTCAGGGACTTGTTTTCACTGATTGTTTGAGCTTTTGGTGCAAGACAAACCTGTTTGTTGTTCAAATACGTTATAAGAGCTCATGTACAAGTCAAATATCTAGTTTTTCAAACAAGGTTTGGTTGTACAGGCATTATCCATTGGGTCGTTAGTAACTTCTAAACAGTCTCAGAACAGAGTGAAGCCATTTTAAGCTGTTTCAAGCCATTGCGCCTTTGCACGTCTAATTGGGTGTGCTTCTGTGTTCAAACATGCACAAGGGTAACGAGTATCTGCAGCTATGAGTGTAAGTAGGTTGGTGAGGGAAAGACTTCCAGTAACAACTGGGTTATGGAAAGTAATTTCCTTTCTTTTGTTTCTAGGGTTCCACTGTGGCAAGAGAGGCCAGCGACAAGGAGAAGGTACAGTCCTCTGTTGTGAGCCAGGATCCACTGTTATACATACTCACACAAGTTTAGGCTTCAGCACAAGCAGAACCTCTGAACTTTACTGTATGCTTTAAAGAAATAATAATAGTAATAACAATTTAAAAGCCAAGTAAACAATTGATCAAACTAGCACAACAATGGTTAGTCAATTTATAAACAGATCAAAAGAAACAAGACGATTCACCAGCATGTTTTCAAAGCATCTGTGGAATATTTCCGTCCCTCGTCTGTCTCTCAGAAATAATGTGCTGTCAAGTATTTCAATCCACACTGACACCACATTCTTATTGATACAAAAACCACTTTTTAAATCTCCAAGTCTTTTTCTTGTGCACTAAGTTAAACAGTCTCCCACTTTCTGTATTTTGTGGAGGGAATAAAACAAGTGAACGAGTAAACATAAATAGGGACATTTTCTCGTATTACCTTTCAGGTAGTTTACTCTATTTAAACTATTTTTGTCCATTGGATGTGCCGCTGTCCTTTCAGCACATCATGAGAACAGCCGGTTCTGAGGGCCCTGTAAGTCGGAGCCAGTGTGGATTGAACAGATGGACACATACTACTTGCGCACCACCGATGTCTTGATTCTGGTGTCATTTTTGTGAAAAGAACAAGGGCAATTGAAACGTGTTCAGAAACTTTTTTTTTTTTTTTTATACAAATACACTAAATATGAAACTTAGAATTGTCTATTTTTCAAGTAATTTAACCGCTGATGTCAAGTACTGAAAATGAGTCAGTTACTTTAATTGAACTCCATGCCCATTAAAAGCCATGTGGACAATTATAGAACAAGAAAGAACCAACTGTGTTTCCAGTGGTTTCCATAACCAACACAGCTTCAAACAATTCCAGGCTTACTGTCATCGCCCAAATGACCCAACAAACACAACTTTGGTGTCAGCTTTTTTTACCCCCTTGGGTGGGGATGACAGTAGCAAATATCCATCTCCTTCAGTTAGCACCTACTTCATCACCACATTCCCTTTCTAGCCCCTGCACGCTATTTGTGTCTCTTTAATTTGCTTCATCCCCTCTAACCTCGCTTCTGCTGTTCCATTAGTTCCCCTGCTTGCTGTCTGTGTGGAAGATTGAAGGTTGTGTGTGTCTGTGTGTGCGTCTGGGTTCACGTTGGGTTTAGAGTTTTATTCAATCAGATGTCTCATGATTTAGTCGTGTGTGTGTGTGATGTGTTTTGTATGTAGCTGTGTATCTGACAAGGCGGTGTGTGTGTGTGTGTGT